CTCTTACGAACGACATAGCATATCTGGTCACTGCCCACGTGCTCTTTCACGTGGAGAGATGGACTGTGGAGGGACGCCCCATGTAGTCTACAGCTTCCTTTTGTCTGCGTGCGTTCGCTAGGTTCGTAGCAGCAATTAACCAGCGGTTGCTCTGTCAACGCTCACACACGCGTCCGTGTATTTCGTTATTAACATAATTAATAAATTTAATGAATTTAAGCGATTGAATTAGTTTGTGAGTCGCAATTGCCTCCATTGATTCAGTGACGTTTGATGCGTCAGTCATGTTCGATCACGTATATATGTGTGTGCGTAGTGCGGCGTGCGTGTGTGTGTAGAACGAGACATTATAGTATATCTCCTGCGCCGTGTGTTCCTGCTTGTACTGGCAGCGGTGTATTGCCGTGTATGAATGTATGTCGCTGTGTGTTGTGTGTGTGTTGTGGTGTGTGTGTGTCGTGTGTGTGTGTCGTGTTGCGTGCTTTTGTGTGGTGTGTGTGTGTTGTGTGTGTGCGTGTCGCGTGTGCGTTGCTGCTGTGTGCGTCTGTCGTGTGTGTGTGGTGTGGCTGGCGCATGGTGCGTGCGCGACATCCGTGGTGATCCTGGTAGTCTGTGTGTGCGTGTGCGTTGCGTTATATCGCCGCTGATCTCCTCTGCTTCAGATTACGATGACTCCGTGGAGGAAGAAGTGTTCTGTCCGGATCCGGGTCGCCTCGAGAACGGCGGCGTCAGTCCGGATTTCCGCAACCGGGATTACGTTCCCGGCGCGAGGCTGTACTTCTCCTGTGACGAGGTTTACTACCTGAAGGGAGCGGGGGAGACAACGTGCGGGGCGAACGGAGAGTGGATGGACGAGAAACCAGAATGCGTGAGAGGTGAGGTACGGGTGAGAGACGGGTGAGGGATGGGTGAGGCATGGGTGAGGCATGGGTGAGACATGGGTGAGGCATGGGTGAGACATGGGTGAGACATGGGTGAGAGATGGGTGAGGTACGGATGAGAGACGGGTGAGGCATGGGTGAGAGATGGGTGAGGCATGGGTGAGGTACGGGTGAGAGATGGGTGAGGCATGGGTAAGACATGGGTGAGACATGGGTGAGAGATGGGTGAGGTACGGGTGAGAGACGGGTGAGGCATGGGTGAGACATGGGTGAGACATGGGTGAGGCATGGGTGAGACATGGGTGAGAGATGGGTAAGAGATGGGTGAGAGATGGGTGAGAGATGGGTGAGAGATGGGTGAGAGATGGGTGAGAGATGGGTGAGAGATGGTTGAGGGATGGGTGAGAGATGGGTGAGGTACGGGTGAGGCATGGGTGAGGCATGGGTGAGAGATGGGTAAGGGATTTATTAGGGATATGTAAGGGATGGGTGAGGTGTATGGGTATGGGAAAGAAAAAAATAAGAGAGAATCGGTGAGGAATGGGTGACACGGGGAAAGATATGGAGTGGATGGTTGAGGTACCGTCAAATGTTGTCTAAGACCATACGTCGCATGAGACACCAGAACGAGACTCACTCTCTTTGCACTGAACTATAATTAAACTGGTTAATTACTCTGTTTGCAGTGAAGGTGTGCAGTCACCCTGGCAACCCGGGTCATGGCATCGTCAGCATCAGACTGATGTCCAAGCCGACGGTGGTGACTATGCGACCACAGAGAGGGCGCTACGAGCAACTCATGTGCGTTATCTGTATTAGAAACCTATCTAACCAGCAGGGGGCGCATCATGCTAGGCTGTAAGTGCTAACGGGGTTACTTCACCCGTTGTCCCCTGATGTTGTACAGCTGATGTCCGACTGTTACATATCACACAACTAGGGATGAATATATTGGGAAAGTTCCAACTCCTCTGCCTACCCCACACTACCCCTCTTACATTCGCTATAGGGTGGTCTGTATTGCCCAGATATAGAAGGAAGTAAACCCTTTGAGGTCAAAGAGTCTAATATCTATTTCAATAAACATCCGTGCCGCAGTGAAAAAGTATCGCCCGAACCCCCAGCCGGTAGTTAAACTGTCATCGGTCATCGATGTTTGTAAACTCGATAGTTATATTGCGACTGTCCATCCCAGTACACATGTCATCCACCACCACCACCACTCTGCCTGACGCCCCCCCCCCCCATCACCCTCCCGCCCAGGCGCGGATTTTGGCCGGTTTGCACCGGTTTCCAGAAACCGGTCACAGGCTGGGTATCTTCAGAATTGACCCCCAAAATTCACAGGAATGCACCAAATATAGCAAAAAAAATTTAAATTCCCGGGGGGGGCATGCCCCCGGACCACCCTAGCTGTGACTAGAACTATGGAAACTGGTCACCCAAACCTTCTGGATCCGCCTAGTCCCTAACAGAATAATGCGTGATGTATTGCGTCTTACTTCAGGCCTTCTCGTGTTCGCACTGTGCGGCGTGCAGTTGATCGTCTGCAGACCTGGAGGAGAGAGAGGCGTCTGCGATGACGTCACTGTTTCTTGCGCATGTGGTGGCGGTAACTCCACCATTGATCTCAGCTTTGAACAGTAAGTGCCGTCAGAAACTGAATTCCGTCTGTCCGTCATTCCGTGTTCCGTGCTGTCAGTCAGCGATGCCCATATGCCCGTATTTGTACGACTATCTCTTGTGGTGTAATACATGAATATATATATATATTTATATATATATATATATATATTTATTTATTTATATAATATGATGTGCGTGCGCTAGGCGCGCGTGTGCGTACGCGTAACTCGGGCCGTGTCGCTACTGCACTGATGTACGTACGCACCAACAGGTGTCGCTACAATCACGCGGGCAACCTGCACTGCCTGCCTTGCGACGACGTGCACACGGAGAGCGTGTGCGACGTCTTCCGGCACTGCTCCAGCTGCAGCGACGTCGGCTGCACTTCCTGTCTGCCAGGACTCAGAGGCGCCACCTGCCAGCACGGTGAGGTGATCTCTCTGTCTGTCTGTCACCGCGCATGCGCAGGCTAGATAGAGCGAGCATTCGTTATGTCGCGCGTAGAGAAAATTGTGAATCTAAATAAGGATGCGAAAGATATGAAAAGAGGAGTCTTGCGGTTTCCCCGCGCAGTCGTTGATAGCTTCTTGTTTCAGAGGTGCTACCCTGCCCCCTGGTGGACGTTCCCCAGCACGGCCACGTGGCTTATGGCGAGCAGATCCAGCGCGCCACCTACTCGTGCGACGAAGGGTTTGAGCTGCTGGGAGCCAAGGTGAGGGACTGCCTTGATTCAGGAGAATGGACGGACATGGCGCCCTCGTGCGGTGAGCGAACGAGTCATTTGACACACGCTAGCTGAATGGAAGAGTAAATCAATTATGAGGGTCGTAAATAAATCGGTGATAGGTTTGACTTGACTTCTCAGGTAAAAGATTTCGCTGATGTTTTATGAAGGGTAAGCACTGTGCTTATGGGTATCTACGTTGTTATTATACGTTATAACATTATTGATTAAGTTTGCGTTACTATTATAACGTGCACCACGGCCCACTGAAGCTGCAGCGGTGAAGGATGCATATGCTGGTGGTGGTGGTGGATGAGAGAGCTGGATGGGGAGGTTACAATCTAGGCCTATACCGACGCCAGCATGCTCCCGTGCCTATATATATATATATATATATATATATATATATATATATATGATGCCGTTACAGAGCGGACGTGTCTGCTGCCCGCGTCGTTCCGGCATGGCTACGTGGAGACGCTAGGTATGATCGCACGTGCTGCGGCAGCACCCATGCTCAACCATCACTCACTGACATTCGGCTGCAACCAGGAGTACGAACTGGTCGGTCCACGTGTCGTCACGTGTCTACCCAGTGGGGAGTGGAGCTCCGTGTTCCCACGATGCGGTAAGTGATGCTAGTTTACTAGCGGGAGATAACAGAGGAGTACGAGCTTTCCCTCACACCCCCAGATGTCTCTACTACTGCCTTCTGCTATTCACAATTCGTCATTTTGCTCTGGCGCCAACTGCCATCCACCACTCACCAACGCAGTCTACCGGCTGCCACCACCAACACAACCCACCACCCTCCACTCTCTAACAGCCACCATCCACCACCGTTCACCACCCACCACCGTCAACAGTCCACCACCTTCCACTACCGACAAACTCCACCACCCTCCACCATCTACCAGTTTTCTACCACCATCTACCGCCCATCAGCCACTATCCACACTATATTCGTTCATGGCTACCACCACATGCCAGCCCAACAGCCTCCATTATTCACCATCATCCATCACTGCCATTCATCCACACTCCTAATCACTCAACCACTTCCCCCCCCCCACACACACACAACCCCCACCTTACTACAGTGTTCGTTACCAACCTTCCCCTCACCGACGAGTAGAATGTGTTTTTATTGTCAACCATCCCCTTACCAACAATCTCATCCAGGATGTCTTTTTTTATCGTTGCAGTGCGGTCCTGCCATCGACCAGAGGTGGGCCACCACACGAGGATACTTGGAGATCGATACACGGAGGGCAGCTCCGTCTGGTATAAGTGCGAGTTCGGTTACGATCTCGTGGGAAGCGCAGAGAGAAACTGCATGCCGAACGGCAGCTGGACAGGGACGGCTCCCCGCTGTGGTAGGTGGAGGAGGAGGAGGATGAGGAGGTGGAAGGGGAGAAAATGAGGAGGAGGAGGAGGAGATGGACGAAGAAGAGGAAGAGGCAGTGGTGGTAGTGGAAGAGAGGGAGGAAGGGGAGGGGTAAGTGGAGGAGGAGGATGAGGAGGAAGAGGTGGAGAGGAGGAGCAGGAGGAGGTGGTGAAGGACAAGGAGGAAGAAGGGAAGGCGGAGGTGGAGGAGGAGGAGGAGGAGCAGGAAACTGAGGCAAATGTTACAAGTGCTATATATGGATGCGGCATTGACCGAATGATGTTTGCAATCCCCAGCAATCAGTTGCCTATCATCTGTTTGACTGCAGAGACAGCGCCCTCCTGCGACGATCCAGGACTTCCTGTCAGCATGCAGCGTCTCATCAGCGGACCACGCAAGTCAATATTTCTAGAGGGCGCCACTGTTAAGTACGAGTGTAGCGCCGAGCAGATGCTGGTCGGATCGACAGCAAGGACGTGTCAGAACGACGGAAGCTGGAGTGGCGAGGAGCCACGGTGTGTGCTGGGTAAGGGGCGTGGTGTGTGTGTGTGTGTGTGTGTGCGTGCGCGTGTGCGTGTGTGTGTGTGTGTGTGTGTACGTGTGTGTGCGCGCGCGTGTGTGTGTGTGTGTGTGTGTGTGTGTGTGTGTGTGTGTGTGTGTGTGTGTGTGTGTGTGTGTGTGTGGTGTGTGTGTGTGTGTGTGTGTGTGTGTGTGTGTGTGTGTGTGTGTGTGTGTGTGTGTGTGTGTGTGTGTGTGTGTGTGTGTGTGTGTGTGTGTGTGTGTGTGTGTGTGTGT